ACACCATATACCTAGTGTTAAAGTTAGTCTAGTTTAATCTGTTTAGTAATAAATCTTTAAACTTTTAAAACTTGACTCACTCTCTTTTCTTGAAGTTAATACAAAGTGTTGCTCAATCCTTGCAATAAAAAGATCCGATCTTCTGATTAAATTTACTTAAAGATCCATTAAGGTGATATTTCATACTTCGTGATTTTTCACATTTTATGGTTTCTAATTAAATGTAGGAACATCTTCGCTACATAAATTAACTAATATAATGAGATCTTGTGAAAGAGAGTATTTCATTAAAAGGTTACAACATAATAAAGATAACACAAGAGATACATGAAAGGTATTATGGAAGGGACAAGAAGCATTAATAATAGGAAGGAGATAGTAAATGGTTTTAATGAATTCTTTGTAAACAAAGGGCCAAACCTGGCAGAAGAAATAAAGGTTGAAGGAATAGAAAGGGACTTCGGTGAAAATATTGAAAGGAATAGAAGCTCAATGTTTTTGAGAGCAGTGGAAGAGAAAGAGATCTATGACATAGTTAGAGGACTTAAGAACAAAACCAGCACAGATTGGAATGATATTGATATGGTAACAGTAAAAACAGTCATTGATGGTGTTGTAAAACCATTAACATATATATTCAATTTGTCATATCAAAAAGGGATTTTCCACAAGATATGAAAGTTGCTAAAGTTATTCCCATTTACAAAACCGGTGAAAGGCATCATTTTACAAACTGTAGACCAGTGTCAAAACTCTCCCAGTTCTCTAAGATACTGGAAAAACTGTTCATAAAAAGATTTGACAGTTTTGTGGAAAAATATGAATTACTGACATATAGTCAATTTGGGTTCAGAAGCAACAGATCAACAGCTTTCGCATTGATAGATTTAATGGAAAATATAACTGACTGTATGGATAATAAGAGGTATGCACTCTGAGTTTTTTAGACCTTAAAAAGGCGTTTGATACTGTTAATCATGAAATTCTATTTAAAAAATGGAAAGGTACGGGTTTCGGGGAATTTTTGGGGACTGGTTAAAAAGCTATAGGGAATGGGAAACAATATGTACAAATAAATGAATACAAATCTGATTTGATGGATATAGCTTGTGGAGTACCTCAAGGTTCAGTACTGGGACCAAAATTGTTTATTATGTACTTAAATGATATCTGCAGAGTATCAAAAATTTTAAAGTTTGTAATATTTGCAGATGACACAAATATACTGTGTTCAGGGGTGGAATTGCCACAGGTCTTGGAGTTGATCACACAGGAATTAACGATATTAAAAAAGTGGTTTGATATAAATAAAATATCATTGAATCTTGATAAAACCAGATTTATGTTATTTGGTAACCAAAAGAAAAACATCAAAATAGAAATTTGTGTGGATAATGTATATTTAGAAAGAGTAAATGAAATAAAATTTCTTGGTGTGATCATTGACCATAAGCTCTGTTGGAAGCCACACATTACTTATTTTCGGGGGAAATTGGCACGGGTCGTTGCCATCCTGGGGAAAGCTAAGAATATGCTGGATCAGAAAGCACTGCACATATTATACTGTGCTGTACTACTGCCATATATGAGTTACTGTGTAGAGGTCTGGGGAAACACATACAAAAGTAACATACAGACGATAACTATAATACAGAAAAAGGCCATTAGAATAATAAATAATGTGGTTACAGGGACCATACAAATGCACTCTTTGTCGAAATGCAAGCTATTAAATTCCAAGACTTGGTGAAGCTCAAAACAGCACAAATAATGTATAAAGTAAGAAATAAATTGCTTCCTAAAGAAATCTGTTTATTGTTCAAAGAAAGAGAAGGTGGGTATAACTTAAGAGGGAAATGGAATTTAAAAATACAAAGTGCTAGAACAACTTTAAAAACGATGCCAATCGCAAGTTAAATTATGGAACAGTCTAATAGAAGAGATAAAATAAAGTAAAAACATCAACCAGTTTGAAGTAAAATATAAAAACCTAATTTTAAATAAGTATAAGAATGAAGAAAACAGGGTTAACCCAGGACGGTAATGCGGCTGGTTATGTATGCTGTTGTGCTTCTTTTTGGGTGGTTTTTTTTGGTTTGTTTGATTTTCCTTTTTTTCTCCTTAACTGGTGAATCTGCAAATTTACACATTCCCTGTTTTCCATATATTGTTTTGTTATTTTATACACACACACACACACACACACACACACACACACACATATATATATATATATATATATATATATATATATATATATAGTAGTTTCCCTTCTCTTTGAAATTTCTCTGAAGAGTGACCTGAATTAATGCTTACTGTGTGAAGTGCCTAGAGACGACTCATGCTGTGATTTGGTGCTATATAAATAAACTTGAATTGAATTGAATTGATACCTGCCCTGTAAACAAAAGCTGTTCTCCATCATGGTCTAGGGGAAGGATCCAGAAAGCCGTCTCAGAGATTTCAGCTGTCTGGTTCCACAGTTAGGAACATAGTGAGGAAATGGGGGACCACAGGCACAGTTCAAGCTAAGGCTCCAAGTGGCAGACCAAGGAAGATCCCTGATAAACAGAAGTGAAGAATGGTGAGACCAGCCAGAGTCAACCCACAGACCAGCACCAAAGACCTACTACAAGGAGTGTTATGCATGGAGGAAGAAGAGCACAGCATTCCAAGAAAAACACCTGCTACCTGCAGTAAAACATGGTGGTGGTTCCTTCATGCTGTGGGCTGTGTGGCTAGTATAGGGACTGAGAATATTGTTAAAGTTGAGGGACGTATGGATTCCATTCAGTATCAGCAGATTCTAGACACCAAGGTCCAGGAATCTGTGACATAACTGAAGCTGCACTGGGGCTGGATCTGTCAACAAGACAACAACTCCAAACATTGCTCAACATCAACAAAGGCATTCATGCAGAGGAACAGGTAGAACGTTCTGGAATGACTATCTCAGTCCCCAGACCTGATTATTACTGAACATCTGTGGTGTGAGTTAAAGAGCAAGTCACCCCCAAATAAACTTTTTTTTGCTGATAAACTAAATAAACGAGTGTCTAATCGTGCTGCAGACACGTGTAGTCAACAATTTGTTACTTCAGTGCATCTTAGTTAAATTTAAATATTCTGCCTAAAACTGTCAGTGTTGTGCCGTTGTCAGGTAAAAACTTTGCACTGTATTTGAATTTAAATCTGCCACCGCTATTGGCTAACAGGTATGCTATGATGTAAACTGGTACATTATGATGTCACAATGCTGTCGTGAGCCTGTGTGTGTGTGTGTGTGTATTTGTTAGTGGCTGCGCCCTCTCGGTCTGCCTGGCTACAGCATTTGTTGCATTTTTCAAACATGAAGTGGGAGTGGAGTTAGACTCTGGTAGGGGTTGACTTGCTCTTTAAAGAGAGCTGTTCATGCTCAGGAGCATCAGACCTGAATGAACTAGAGATGTTTTGTAAAGAAGAATGGTCCAAAACACCTTCAACCAGAATCCAGACTCTCATTGGAAGCTACAGGAAGAGTTTAGAGGCTGTTATTTCAGCAAAAGGAGGATCGACAAAATATTTAGTTTATTTTTTTTGTGGTGCCCACATTCATGCACCATAAATGCACCTCTTGATGGTTTATCCCTTGAGGTCCACGTGGCAGGGGTGAGGTGGTGCTCACTCTTCACCCTTGCCACATGGACCCAGGGGATAAACCATCAACCCTGCTCAGTGGTCACCTTTCCTGGAGGGGTCACCCGATAGGACAGTGGAAGGGTTAAACTATTATTGCGCACTTTCTGTGAATCCTATAAACTTTGCTTCACATCTCAGATACCCCTGTGTGTGTCTCCTATGTCATATATGTAACTGAAATGTTTTATCTTAACAACAATGATTTATACAAGGTGCAGAGGTTTATACAAGGTTTATGAAGGTGGTTTTGTAGCAGAAGCAGCTCGTGGTTCCTGCTGCTGGAGCCATCATTACATTACATAAAGGATTCATTGTTGAGCGTCTGATTTTTTTTGGACAGCACCGACACTCGGGCCGAGTGAATGAGAGACCCGGATTAAACCCGTGTAAATTTGGACAGAGAAGCTGCTCGTCTGTTGCTGGGTGACTTGAATTTGCTCTGCAGGACTTTAAACAAGACAGCAGCTCTGTGGGTTTCAAACCATCACCTAAAAAAAGAGATATGAGGGTGAGAGTAAAATCAGCTGAATGAGTTCTGCTCTGGGGCAGACTGAAGGACTTACACTGTTTCTGGGTTTGGACCCGTAAAACCGAGTGAAAGCCTGCTTTGTTCTCGACGAGCAGTTTGAGTCCTCAGACAGTCGCTTGGCGGCCTGCATTACAGACATTTCTGGGGTGTTACTTGGTTACCTCAGTTTTCATCATGTTTTCCTCTGGAAACTTCCATAAGATAGAAAGGGTTAAATCCCAGCTGACTGGTTTGGTTTTAAAGCTGCAGCTGGTGTTTATTTCTCGTGAGCAGCCGAGCTGGACCAAAACCATTTTCTACAACTTAAACATTTAATCAGATCATGCCCTGCAGGGAGAAGCTGGTGACACCGCTTGATTAGGCTAAAACGTTCCTGAAGAAACTCTGATGGGGCCACTGGCAGCAGGTATGGAGACAGTCTTAGCCAATTAGAGAGCTGGGATTTTCCCGCCTTGTGAGGAGCAGACAGCAGGACGTGTGAGACGAACTAAAGGAAACCAACTCATGAATTAGTCAGTTAATCAGTTTGACTTCTTCAGCAGAATTATCAGAGCTCTGATGTCATAGAGGCAAAGGGGAGGAGCCAGTTAGCCTTATTAAATTGTTCAAACAAAAAATAAAATTGGAATGTTTAGCTAGCTAGTTTTCCATGACGACTGGAAAGAACAGTAACAGCACCCCGCCACATGTGAGGAGAGGAAGCGGAGAACCTTCGTAAACATTTGGAGGCGTTTTCAAAGCTCCCTCTGAGGGAGGGATTAATCCGTGAAAGGGAGTAAAGAGCATTTGCAAGTTTGTGTTTATTCATTTATTTGGGTTGTGGAGAACACTACAGCATAGTCATGACAGCACAGCAGCGTGTGAAGCAGGGCGTAATAATTTAAAAAAGCATTTAACACACATCTCTCAGCACCTCTAAACCCCCTGAGGACGGCCCCTCTGACCATCCCGAGTCACCTTCAGAAACAAAACCACTCCAGTAAGACCAGAGATACCCTCACCCAAACTGCTCTGCTGCTGCAGCCTGGTTCCACCAAACGGGCAGCAATGTCAAACACCAAAAAACTATGTAACCCAACCCTAATGCAGACCCGAGCATCGCAGGACGTGCACTTCATCCCAAACCTGTTAATAACGAACTGAACCAGTTACCTGAGAAACAAACAACATTTAACATCTTTAACTGATTGAGAAGACTTGTAGAGCTTTTTACAAACTAAAAGCAGCAGAGTTTGTGTTTAATGATCTAAGGAAGCAGCTTCCGTACTCAGAACCTTCAGAAGGAATTACACTGTGCTGTATTTACAATCAGAACCTCTTCATCTAGTGTCCATCTGCTTGGGTTGTCCAGTAGCAGAACCAGACTGGGTGAGTTCTGGCGCTGATGTTGGGTCAGAACTCCCATTTGTTCTGCAGCTGAGAGACGATGGCATGGATCGGTTCCACCTCAGATCTGGTATCGGTGCTGGTTCTGGGAGCAGGTTTGCTTACTCCAGACCAAAGCCTTCAGCGTTGGAGATGGCGATGGTGAGTTTGTGTTTGAGCTCCTTCCGGGTTCGATATGGAGGCAGACAGATCTGATTAAAGCAGGTGTGGGAGATGGGCAGCCTGTGGAGACAGAACCAGGGAGGATGAGTTAAACCAGGCTCACACCAGCTGTTCCCCCTCTGCGCTCCAGCACAAAAACAACCACAAGACCAGGAATGTTCGAAGTTCTGATAGGAGCGTTGGGTTATGGTTTCTGGTCCCAGAAAGTGTGAAACGTTCCTCAGGAGGTTCTACAAACAATAACATGTAGGAAACAATAACATTCAGGATTTTGCAAATTTCATGTTCTTCAAAAATAAATAAATAAATTAATTAATGAGATAAAAACCAGAAAATGAAATAAGACCTGAAATCCTTCATCACTGTCTCCTCATCATCAGAACGTATGTTAGAGTAGGAGGATAGAAGGATAATAATAATAATAATAATTTTTTAATCCTTTATTTTTAGTTCCACAACCAACACATGCAATAAATGTATTAATACTTTGAGATGTAGCATTGCAGCATGACCTACACTACCCACAATGCCCTATGGTATGTATGTATGAACTACGATGACTATACTTTTAATACATAAGAAACCCTCACATGACATGAATGTGGGTCTGAACACAACATCTCAGCTGGGTTGCTGCTGTTTGAGACTCACTGAAGATCTTCAGGTCTAAAATGTTTCATTTTGAGTTGAGAAAACTTTGAATGAGGTGCTAAATATTTTTCAAAAAAGAGAAGCCATCCTTATCGAACATTAGGTCCTGGGAAGATGAAGCTCCAGTAGAACTTGAAATCATGTTAGGAGAGTTTACAGAAGCTTCTCTTATTATTTCTGTTTTTCTCAGCGTGGACACAAAGGTCAAAACTCATTTTCCTGCCCCACATTCCCAAACACACCCTCCTCATCCCTCCATGGACCGGAGCTGATAAGAGTGTGACAGGAAGCAGCTTGAGTTTAATAATAGCTTTAAAGATTTCCTTGTCTAAAGTGCAAATATGCCCAGAGCTGGTCTGACTGACCATGATGGGCTACTGGCCGTCCTCTCCACAGTGGAGGTGTTTACCTATAATGCACACCAGCACAAATAACAGATTCCAGCTCTAAGCATGGTGGTGAGGCATTGATGATTTGGGCTGGGCTCTGGGAAAATATCTGTTCTGTTGTGTTTGGGATTAAAAACTTCCATTGAAGAAATGGGTCAAAGTGTTTCTGGGGAATGGAGCCTGGAGCTGTCAACAGCTGGGTTAGTGAGTTCAAGGCCGCCCACTTTAGCCATGAACCCACTGAACATAGTTCTCTTTAGATTTGACACAATGGCCCTGCCCATCCCCCTCCTGTTTCCCAAACACCAGACTCTACCGGCCCCTCTCAGATCAGGTCATGTGAGGGCCCCTAAAAGCCAGCTCACGTGAGGGGGTTGTGAAGCTTTTCCACTAGAAACAACCACTTTGCTGCAGCTTCAAGTATCAACAGAAAACATTGCAGGAAAACATGATCTACCCCCCCCCCCCCCCACCCCCACCACCACCAACACACACACACACAAAAAAACTCTATCCAACCTAGCCCTACTGTTGACTGTTTGTCAAGTCTGTGTGAAAATCAAGCTGTTGTTTGTGAATGTGGTGTGTGTGAGAACGTGTTGAACCCAAGTAACCCAGCAAAGTAGAAACACACACACACACACACACACACACACACACACACACACACACACACCCACATTTCACAGCCCCTCACAGCTGAAATAATACCAGCCTGGGCCCTGGTGGGGCCCCTAGAGCTCAGGGGCCCAAACTATTCCGTCTGTTTAATTCAAATGAACGAATTAGGCATGGGAAACATAGGGTGGCAAACAGCAGTGACAGAAAAAAGTCAAAAATTCTTTATTCCAGCTTTTTTGTCCAATTCAGAGAAGTAGAAAAACATTGTACACGTAAAAGGCAATGAGCACAATATGACACGCTTAAGAGACCAAATAATCACAAGAGCAAGAACAAGAGACAATAATAAAAGCAGTGTGAAAATAAAATATAAATACAGTTACCCACTAGTCTAAAAAAGAAAACAACTGTTATTCCAGTGTTTCCACATCTGCACAGGCACTGGTTAGGTTTAAAACAACCACGAAAGATTTAGCCTACACATTAAATTCTGTTCTTTAGACAGCTTGTAGGGTGCTCACCCTCCCATTTACAAAAGTCTTACTGCACTTGTCCATCTAGGCTTCTTTGGAGTTAAACGCAGAGCACCATTATAGGCGACCTGCAGCCTAGCATACCACACTAGTCCATAGGTGGGCCATGGACAGCGACAGGCCTTAAACAGGATTATCTTTACCTTTGCATGAATGCCCCCCCTCCCCTACCTCACCCTCTGCATCATTCTTACCTCACCACCTTTTACCCTTTAGTTTAATCAATGCTTTCACATACTCAGTAATGCCAGATACTTTTGTTATCTACTCCGTGCCTCAAACACTTAGTATCTCCTGGTTAGCCTTCCTACCTACTCGAAGTACGGAATCTCTGTTAGTTTGCTAATCTATTCTACCCCTAGCTTATTCAGTGTTTTAACCATCGACATAGAAATATATGGACAATGGGTTTCCATAGACTCCAATGACATGTTTTTGAGGAGAAACGGGAGGTGGCCACCATTGCAATTTTAACCGTGTCACAGGTTCCGTCAAGCCCAGACAATTCCACAAAAGGGAAGAGAGGTGGAGCTGAGGGTGGGGCTGTAAGGCTGGGATCAACTGACGACACCCGGTCGAACTAGCTACAAGCTAACCTGAAGCTAATCCAAAGCTAACACGGAGGTGGGAGCTAAGCTAATGGAGGTAGCTACCTAGCTACATCCGGAGCTAACTCTGTGGAAAAACAGCGACCTGAAGCTCACACGGATTTTGTGTGGAGGTTTGCGGCGCTTTTCCATGAAAACTATCTTTCTGTGAATATAAAAGAATTAAATAGGTAAGTTTATAAGTTATTTCCCTAATGAAAATTAATTTTCCTTTGAGCAAGTTTTCAATATTTTTAACGTACTGTATTTTGCGGACTATAAGTCACTCCGGAGTATAAGTCGCACCAGACATAAAATGTTTCATGAAGAAGAAAAAAACATATATAAGTCGCACTGGACGTCACATTTTGGGGGAAAATTTTATTATTTTTCTTACAAAATCTGAGACCAAGCATTTCACATTGCAAGACAAGTACCAGTAACAATAACAGAATAAACAACGCGGGCGCAGCAGCGCGCCACGGTCTCCAGTAGAGGATGGCGGTGTTTGAAACCCTCCCAGCGGGCCAGGGGAGCTCATTCCTGGGTCGGAGCCGGCCCGCAGCAGCGCACCACAGGCTGCAGCAGGTGATGGCGGGGTGGAGGAGCTGAAAACTGGGCCGGATCCAGTGTGCAACAGGCTCCAGCAGGTGATGGCTGTGTGTTTTTAATTCCCAGCGGGGCAGGGGAGCTCATTCCTGGTCCGGAGCCGGCCCGCAGAAGCATCCATCGACATATACCCTATTAATTATTTTACCGTATTACATTTAAATTTCATGGTTAAACAGTACATGTTAAAATGGTACTTAGCTAGCTACTTTGATAAGCTCAGCTAGTGCAAAAGCGGCAATGACCTAAAATACATAAAATTAATTTTACTTACCGAAAATAATGGAGTGGAGACTCCTTGGACGCTCTATTAGTGCAATTAATGCCACAGCAAGTCATTTTGTCCAACAATTGCACGAATAATATCCAAAAAAGAATACACAAATGCTACAACTACTGGTCTAATTTCAGAGACTAAAAATTGCTGAACAGTTTACAGGCGAGACCGAGGCTCTACTGAGGCCTTTCCAAGGAGCTAGCTCTGCGGTCACATGGGTCTGAGGCGGCGATCACGTGGGTCGGATGCTCATTAATTATACATTTTTAGGCTTTTAATACACTTAAACAGAAGAGTGAGAAAAAAATTCACCCCCCTCGGAGTTGTCATGAGTATAAACTAGATCTATTAAACCAAAAACATGTTTTGGTACCAGGCTGTAAACATGTTTATTTCTGCTGTGAAATTGGTATTTTTAACATGGGAGTCAATGAGGATTTGCTTGTTTCTGACACCAGCCCCCAGCGGATGAGGGTGGAACTGCAATTTATTTCACTTCTGCGTTGGCCTCAATTTCTGTCCCGCATTGTGGGGGCTTGGTTTTAAACTCACTTAGAAATTCCAGGCTCCCCACATTTAGATTTCTACTCAATGTTTATCACACAAGTTCTGCTGTTTGGTTTATACTTTTCTGTTTTGCCCAGTCTGGACACCTACGCCCTCCCCAAACAGGTTATAACTCACCTTTAATCTCCTAGCTCTAGTTTAGGCTGTCTTTTCCATAATCCCTCCCCACCAATAGTTTCCTAACATTTATAGTTTATTGTTTTTCCATAATCCACTAGTCACCTACCACTTTTATTGAAAATTGATAATTTATTGTAATGCTCATCTTTCTTATGTTCATACTGTGTTTGTTATCCAATTTTCTTCTGTTCTTTATTAAACACAGAGTTATAAGGGTTTGCTGACATGTTTCAACATTTCATTGCCGCTGTCGTCAGAGCAACCGCCGGATGTTGGTGGCGTCACTTCGATATCGATATCGTCCTCTGCTGTCCTCGCCTTCTCCGCTGATCACTGTGTCCCACGAGCAAAGTTAACAACAAACCCTTCTAGCTCTGTGTATAATGAAGAACAAAGGAAAATGTTACTGTAATGTTTTAGTTAAAGAGCAAGTCACCCCCAAATCTACTTTTTTTTTCTGATAAACTATATAAACGAGGGTCTAATTGAGCTGTACACACGTGTAGTCATAAGAAACAAAGACAGATGGAGTCAGAGAGAGCTTCATTATGTCTTTTTAAGAAGCAGTAATAGGTCAGACAAACAGGAAGTTTCTTCCTGGCACTCGCGGAGTACAGACGCTTTTCTTTTCGCTCCCTTTTGTTTTTTTTTCCCAAGGCTCTTTGTCCTGTCTGCCCACAGAGTGCTTCTCTGCATTTCTTCTGAAAAACCCTATTTTAACCATGGATTTGATAAATTGGTCATTCAACGGGATTGATAAGATTTTTTCAACAATGAGAACGGAGCAGGGGGCTCCCACATGCCCACAGGGGACACACCCGGTGGGGTATATGCTGGATTCCTGGAGGGAATGGAAGATCATATGCCTCTCCCAGCTGTCCATTGAGGATATCGAAGACATGTGGATATTCGGTCTGATGATCACTGGATTTCTCCTGATTGGAGTGGGAGGATATCTGGTTTTCTGGAAATTTGGGAAGACGGGAGTGATTGGAGGGCGACCTGCACCCAGGGAAAGCACCGTCCATGTGGAGGCTTCACAGACTGGGATGTTACTCGAGGTGAATCGTAAGCTGGACAATGTTCTAGCTGCGATACCGGTATTAGTGCGCAAAATGGATGTCATCTCGGAGAGAGTCACTGGATGGTATGGACAGGTTTAAAAACTCAAAATTAGCTTCACTGAAGGACTGGAATGATCAGTTTAAAGACTGAAGGCAGAGAGGAAAATGATCTCAGCTTGACCCAAACAAAGTCTCGTTATCCGAATCTGACGCCCTGGTAGCCTTGAGCGGCAACAAACCCCTATGAAGGAATGCAGACGGATACTTTGAAAGGGAAATGGAGGAAAAGGTAGCGATGTCGGTCATTCTGCTCAGTCTGTTGCTTTTTCGGTTGGCACCACAGCAAAGGTTGTTCTAAAAAAGTGGCTGCAACCTGGTACTGGTTTCTTATGGAAAAGCTTTGGAACCGTGTAGAACGGAGTGGAGCCATGCTGGGTAGGTGCTAGTGGAAAAGGGCCATAAGTGGCCCTTGTTTTGGCTCCATTCTAACAAACTTCCATCTAGTCATGTCATGTTGTTTCATAATATTTATGTTATTGAATTTTGACATTTACATCTGTGTTTAGATTGTGAAGTTGTCAACATGAACATCTGTGGTGATTTTCCAGCAGCAGCAAACTAAAATTCGTAGCTAATCCAGGTGTCAAGGGTACACAGCTGCTTAGGCCACAATGGAAGAATAATAAATACAGAGGTGCTTCAGAGGTGGAGAACAACAAAGAGCCTGATAACAAAATTGATATGAAGGCTAATCAAAGCAAAGTCATATTTAATCAGCAAAATTAGGAATCTTCTCCAGATGTTTTTAGTTTCTCTGAAAACTACACATTAACCTGCTGCTGGTGACACCTGGAATCCAGGATCAGAGTTCTGGACCTACCAGTCAGCTGGAACATCGATCTTAGAGATTTTAAAGTTGAGGTCGGCCATTCCTCCAACGGGAACACGGTCGCTTCCTGTGGCGAAGTGGAGGAGTTTCTTCTGCAGCTCCAGAGGGAAGGCTAACACCACATCCCAGAAACACCTGGAAGATCACAGAGATGCAGCGTTAGTGAGAAACACACAGATCTGCTGTCCTCTCCAAACAGGTCAGCTGCATCCATGGTCATTTTTACAGCATTCTAAATCAGGTCAAAGTAAGTTTATTTGTAGCACTTTCCCGTTACACGAGTAAAGAACAGAATAAGAATCAGCATAAAAACAAACTGTCCAGTATAGTAAAACAGATAAAAACACAAAACATAATAGTGCAACAAACCAAAACCATTAATAGTAAAAGCTTTCAACTCAAATTTACCCTGCCATCAAAGCCAGTTCATGTAAGCATGTCTTAAGGAAGGATTTGAAATCTTCCAAACTCTGTGCAGTTTTTACCTGCCACTGAAAACTCTCCATCTCCCCTAGTTTTCTAAATACTCTTAGAAATTTCTAAGAGGAATTGAGAGCTAGACCTTGTATTCTTTGCCTGAGTATAGGGGTTTACAGTTCATCAATATACAGAGGAGCCAACCCATTTTAAATCAGGTTAGCTCCCTGTGCTTTTCCCTCCTTTTGTAGGTCAGCTGTTTGAGGAGAAACCACCTGTGGAAGAGAGCAATCATGTGCCATAGCCCCGTTGTCCTCATGTAGGTCCATAAGGAGCTGAAACCTCAACAGGAAGCAACTGAGACGTCAAAAATCTTATTCAAATGCAAGGCAGAGGTTATTAATTCCAGACATGTTTAATCCCAGATATTTGAAGATCTAAAATGAATCAGAAAAATCAGGACCAACTGGATTCAGACCAATCGTAAAGCTCTTCCCCACATGTAAACAGGTGAAAAATCATTCATGGGCTTTGTTTCTGTCTGACTGCTCCATCCAGAGAGGATGTTAGGGAGACATCTTGCCTGACGGGGGTGTCCGTCTTGCTGTATCCTTCATACTGAGCCGCTTTCTGCATCGCCACCATGTCGAGCTCTGGACTCCCACAAACCAACATCTCCACCTCTTCTGGCCGCAGCAACTACAACAACAAGGAATTACTGAGTTACTGACCTTTTCATTACTTTAGCTCACACAGCAGATATATGGGATGGTTCATGGCATTGCTTCACATCACCCTCAGCATGGTATTCTGAGTGACTGTGGTGTGATGTCAGAGAGAGGAGGCATTCTCAGGACAAGCATAGACAAGGAGAGAAAACTGAAAAAGGAAAGCAGCATAAATGGTGAGAAGATGTCAAAGAAGGCCAGGCTCTGTTATTTTTAGGAGAAGAAGCTGATTAAAGATGAAATTACAGAAAGGCATGAAGATTTACAACAAGGACCACAAATTCATCTTCAACATGGGAGTGAGTGTAAACAGAAAATGAGTTTGATTTAAACAGGGTTCTGGTTCTGTGCTCCTCTTCAGTCATGTAGGGAATCTACGTGGGCGTCACAAGCAACGAAAGACTCAAAACAAAAATACAATTATGTGGTCAGTCCACAGGTATGGGTGAACCAGAGGATGGCAGATGTTTCGATCCAGGGGACTGTCAGGATGCGCTGGGAATCGTTTGTCAGGAAACAGATTATTGGTAAGAATCAAGAAACAGGAGAAGCTTTTGATATCCATCATGGATAATGAAGCAGCAATGACTCTAGAACAAGCTCCATCATACATCAGTCATCTGATTTTTCCATGTTCCTAACCGAGCACTTCATTCTCAGACTGCAGGGTTACTGATGGTTCCCAGAATATCTGAAAATAGGATGGGAGGCAGATCTTTTAGCTATCAGGCTCCTCTCCTGTGGAACCAGCTCTCAGTTGGAGTATTGAGGCTAACCCTAACCCAGCTTTTTTATTTGATAGGGCCTATGGTTAAAATCTGATGTTAGCCTAGATCTGGACAAGTTGGGGATTACAGGGAGGTGGAGTGTACAGTCGGTAAAGACGGCTCTCCCTTGTCCTGCCTCCAACATGCCACCATCTAAAAGGCTAGGTTATCCAGAGTTATCTCTGCAGTTATGCTGCTATAGGCTTAGACTGCTGGAGGACACACTGACCACTTTCCACTCTCGACTACTTTCTTTTACAATTTCTCTCTTAATTGTATTATTTCCTGTTATTTCAGCTGTTACCTTTATTTTCTGCCTAAGTGTTTTTCTCCCCAGAAGAAGCTACAATGATGTTCTGCTGAGCTGTGGTAGCCTCATGGAGTGGGCCATCGGCTTGAACACTGTTGCTAACCACTTAAACATTCTCCCTCTCCTGATATTAAAACTTTACTTTTTTGACATTGAATGTGCTACTACTAGTTTACCTGTTTATTTTCTTTGTATCTGCTGTCTCTTCTCAAAACCCTGAGGAGTCATGACAGATGGCTGCTAATACTGCTCCAGGTTCTGTTGGAGGTTTCTTAGTTACTCTGTTAGAGGGGAGTCTTCCTGCCCACTGACAATACATGCTTGCTTAGTATGGAGACTGTTGTAAAGTCATGAATAAGGTGGGCTCAGAAACAAAAGAAGAGCAGATTACGACATAAAGATTATTCTGAACTTCTGACCCTGACTGGCCCTTTTCTCAGCTCATTGTGTAAAACAGACAAAGAGGAAGAGTTTAATCCAACAGCTGGGAAGCTGCAACACTCGCCTGTCAGCTAAAGTTCCACTAAAACACAACTTCAGTTCAATGCAACAACTGCTTCCCCTGATCAGATGGTAAAGTCAAGCACCACCAGTAGACAAGGAGGAAGAGGAGGTACAGTCTCTTCTCACATCATTTGTCAGAACAAAAATTCTAATTCTCAGGAATTTAGTAAAAATCAAGGTCACCATACCAAAATAAGTAAACAAAAAAAAAACCTCATATAAATAATGAAAAGAAATGTGATGCTATTGTCTAACACCACAGTGACTAAATAACCTAAATTTCCCACCATACGCAACACACACACACACACACACACACACACACACACACACACACACACACACACACACACACACACACACACACATACATGACCAAAAACCTGCCTTATCACATCCTGGAGACATCATCATGTGGACGTGCTGGATTGGCTGTACGAACACACACCTGCACACACACACGTTTTATTTTTTCAAGAAAATCGTCTGAAACATTTTCCTGTCCAAACAGGAGGGATGAGTCTGATCCAGGGCTGCCGCTTGTTTTTCAGCTCATTTCATTTTTATTTCTCCAAACCAAACCAACTGCTGGAAAGCATCATAGTATGAGACTGTCTGATTGTGGATTTCTTATTCTGAAACTGCTTTTAATCTTGGGTTGTTTGTGTTTGTAGGTGTTGGAGGCAGGTTGACCCATGTGTGTTCTGACCCACAGCCAGGCTCAGGACCAGACTTTTAACTCCAGGGAGATTCGATGTGTTGCGAAGCAGAAATCCAACTCCCAACATCTCTGAACAAAGGCTGAAAGCTATTCATAAAGTGACAGTTGTGACGTTTAACCTTAAGCTATAAAGAGAGTAGGTCATGACCCAGAGGGTCAAGGGTCAAACATGATAACTTCTTAGACTATTTGCATTAGGATTCATTTAGCTCATTTTCTCTCCTTCTCTGTTTGATTTCCTTGGCTGTGGTCAGGTCAGCTTTAATGTCTGTGAAGAAACAAAAATTGGATATAAATATTGTTTTTGTCAGAAACTGTTGCTACACAGGAAGTGGTTCTGAAACACTGACATGACTGCTGTGTTGGAGCAGGAAGTGACTGTCAGGAGATTGTGAAACAGCCAATGGGAGGGTGACGGAAGTCAGTCACTAACTGTTGCTTAACTCCTACAAGTCAAACCTGTGAAAAATCTCACTTCAGTGACATAACTACTGAAACTATTAGCCTCATCAGTATAATGCCGTAGGAATGTGTTTGAGACTAATGAGCCTTAGTGAAGCAAGACTGTCTCTAGGGACTCATGCGGACAGACTGATGTCATAATCTAGACTCTGCTCCACATATTTAACAAAACAAGAAGAAACACAATCTGCAAATTAAAACGGGCGACCAGAAGAAATATGCTGTGAGTTCTGCTCGTGGGTGAAGCTCTCCAGTTCAGGTGGACTTCCCACCAGAAACGGGTCTCAGTCTGGTGTTTGACGTCTTAGATGGTTTTTACACCATGATGGTTTAGCGGGGGCGGGGGCGATGCCATTCCAGATATTTTCATAACTCTCTTCTTCCACACCTTTTCTTTAGTTTGAATACAAAATCAAAATGAAAACCTCATTGCTGTTCTCTCCGTCCACCTGCTGTCTCACTGCTGCAGGGCTGAGGCCTCTGATGTTCTCCTCCAAACAGGAAGTAAAAGGTGCTTTTAACTCCTCCATAAAGCATTCACATTTGCCCACCACAGCTTCTCGGGGAGACAGTAGCTCAGGGGTCGGGTGTTTACTCTGATGCTGGGTCGCCGTAACAAACCCAGTCCGTGTCAGTCGTTGTGCCCTTAGGAAAGACACTTCACCCTCCCTATCTCCTAGTGGTGGTCAGAGGGTGGCGCTAGTGGTCAGCATGCTCCAGAGCAGCTGCAGCTACGATATAGCTCATCACCATTAGTGTGAATGATTAAAAAGGCCAGGCCATGAAAACAGATAAATGTATGATGTTTATAACAACAAGATGTGTTTTTAGTTTTCTCTCCCATTATGATCAATATTGAACCCACTGAATGTTTCTAAAGTCTATCCATGTCTGTTTTACTCAGTCAACACAGGCACGTGGACACACACACACAAACAATCGCATGCGCAGGCACGCACACACACATTCTCGTCTAGCATTTGTTGTGAGGACCATCACTGACTTCCATTCATTTCACTTGTGACTGGATTGTGCCTAAACCTTAAAGAGCAAGTCACCCCCAAATAAACTTTTTTTTTGCTGATAAACTAAATAAATGAGTGTCTAATCGTGCTGCAGACACGTGCCGTCAATAATTTGGCACTTCAGTGCATCTTAGTTAAAATTTAAATGTTCTGCCTAAAACTGGCAGTGTTGTGCCGTCGTCAGGTAAAAACTCTGCACTGTATTTTAATTTAAATCTGCCACCGCTACTGGCTAAGAGGTATGCTATGATGTAAACTGGTACATTATGATGTCACAATGCTGTTGTGAGCCTGTGTGTGTGTGTGTGTGTGTGTGTGTGTGTGTGTATTTGTTAGCAGCTCCACCTTCTCGGTCTGCCAGGCAACAGCATTTGTTGCATTTTTCAAACATGAAGTGAGAGTGGAGTTAGACTCTGGTAGGGGTTGATTTGCTCTTTAATTTAAAGGCTATTTTCTACCTTAAACCCATCTAAGCATTTTTTAATAGCTTGACCTATAAGAAGTGTTTTGAATGTAAGTATGACTGAGTTCTAATTATAAAAGCATGTTTTGGTGCCTCCTAGTGGGTTTCTCATGACCTGCTAGAAGCACCTACTGGTAAAAAAACTTGACGTGACGTAGGAGGAAGACGTTCGCTTCATTAGTGGCAGTTTACACGGAGCTTTACTGGGAGATGTCGCCAGAATCGGAGCAAGAAATCGCCCACAATTTCAGTGCTGAAGGTCCACAACTATATAATTTTGGGCCAACAGCGACACCTAGTGCTGGCAGTCAAGAGAGCGATTATTTAAACGTGTTAGAGGGGATATTAAGTCGTGGGAAAGTCAAAATGCGCACAGACTGGGTAACGTGAACTGGTAGGTGAATTTCCAAAACATTGTTTTATTTAGAAGTAAGTAGTTGCCTAATGTCATTAAATATGTATAAACACTGCTAAATAAAGCATGGGGACAGGGAAGTTTATTAAATTAGGCAGCTGAAGAGCTTACTGTTTTAATGATCGTACAACCGAGTTGTATTATTTTAGCTAGATGCTACTCAATTGAGTTCAAGTGTTGGTCAAAAACTGCTTTCCCAGTAATTAGACAGGTCCATCCTAACCTAAAGAAGATTCTGACAGACAAGGTGCTGCGGTTGTTGTTTCAGGTGCATACAGGCTAAACCCTTTAGGCACGTCTTCCCTACGTTACATAAGAGATTTGAAATCAAGAAGAAAAACTTGCAAAACAGTATGGATCTGTTCTTAATGAGATGTTATTAGTGGAGAATAAACATAAATAGCCTCTCCCTGGGCTGCCACCTTACCGTGGTGGAGGGGTTTGAGTGTCTCAATGATCCTAGGTGCTAAGTTGTCTGAGGCTTTCTGCCTCTGGTAGGGTCACCCATGGCAAACAGGTCCTAGGTGAGGGATCAGACAAAGAGCAGCCCGAAGACCTCCTATGATGAATTATATAAATGGAAACCGTGTTCCCTCGCCCGGACGTGGGTCACCAGGCCCCCTCTGGAGCCAGGCCTGGAGGTGGGGCATGTTGGCGAGCGCCTGGTGGCCGGGCTTTCACCCATGGAGCCTGTCCGGGCACAGCCCGAAGAGGATAAGTGGGCCCCCCTTCCCATGGGCTCACCACTCATGGGAGGGGCCAAAGGGGTCAGGTGCAGTGTGTGATGGTTGGTAGTCGAGGGCGGAGACCTTGGCGGTCTGATCCTCGGCTACAGAAGCTGGCTCTTGGCACATGGAATGTCACCTCTCTGATGGGGAAGGAGCCTGAGTTGGTGTGTGAGGTTGAGAGGTTCCGACTAGATATAGTCGGACTCACCTCAACGCACGGCTCTGGCTCTGGAACCAGTTTCCTTGAGAGGGGTGGGACTTTCTACCACTCTGGAGTTGCTCCCACTGAGAGGCGCCGAGCAGGGGTGGGCATACTAGTTGCCCCCCATCTTGGTGCCTGTACGTTGGAGCTGACAGCACACACTATGAATGATGTTGTCCATTGCTCCACTGCTGCCACACTAACACCTAAACAAGGGAGATAACATAAATTGGAAAGTAAAGTTATGAAAAGCTAGGTGATGATTACTTTGCATTAGCGTATAGCTAAATATAGCTAATAGCTAATATAGCATATAGCTAAATATAGCTGTAACATCACGAAATGGACTGATTTTGAGACCCACAGGTCAAGTCCACAGCCGGGTCATTTTTCCCTGGCTACGACTACAACCTACAATATTTTACCTCACAAGAGACCAAAAGCCGGACGCCCTGAAAGAGATAATAAAATCACACAATAACATTCTCTCCTACCAAGGTCCCTTTACAGAGGAACTCATTAAATGACCTCCTCGATTCACAGAAAAAAAGAAGGAAAAAAAAGATTTTAAAATTAAACATAATCGTTAAATAAACTTTTTTTTGCAACTTATAATAATTATAAAACAATGAAATGCTTCATTAATCTGTGCTTAATGATATATGTTTAGCAACCCTTCAGGCAGCTGCTGCTGACTGCAGCCACCTGTAGCTCATATCCAGAGTGTAACAGGCCATCCTGGATTTGAGGGCTGCTGTTTGAACCCCTTTATTCTAAGGCTGACATACCACATGTTTAAACAGCAACATGGGCCCATAAATCTGCAGTTTAATGAGTAAGGACACATTATTTATGAAAATGAAATGTGTTGTAATTTGTATACTGGTAATTTGTAAAAAAAAAAAAAAAACAAAAAAAAAAAACTGGACAACAAATCTTTGGTATTCGTAGAACAGATTTAATGTCTCAAACGATAAATTTAGTGTCAAGGATAACTAGCAATATTACTTCACTAGTAATTCTTCCATTTTTGTTTTGAAGTTTTAAAACATTTTAATATCATGCTTTGTTTTCACAATCACACATTCTTACAAACCTGGTCTACAATAATACATCAATTAAAGGAGTAAAGCTCCAGCACCTCTGAACTTTTACTATCAAAGGTAGGGGTGAGACACAACATTAGTGAAATACATACATAAACAGCATAGTATAATATAGTACACAATAAATGTATAAATATATATGGAACAGAATATATAAAAGTAACAGAAATAATTTTGAAAAGTAAGCTTTTCAGGTGAGGAGATCATCTTTTTATAATGTTTACATAGCAGGCGGTATCTCTATGTAGCCTACAGGCAGATGATCCGATGGGCACATGACATCATTGGGCGACTCATCCACAAGCCTCCACCATCATGTGTGGTGAACGCCATCAGAGCAGCCTTTCCAGGTGAAGATGACCAGTACAGAGGCTTCCACTGGCCTGATCTGAACTAGTGTGGTGTCTGTAAAAAAATGTAAATCAATGTTTGCATGAACTTATAAAAATGTATTAAAATTGTGAAAGAACTTGTTGCTTGGTTTTTAATGATTATTAAATATTATTCCACACAAAAAGGTGACTACCGAAAAATCTACCCAGTGTCAATAAAAGCTACAGAAATGTACTTGTGCTGAAAACCGTGACTTTCTGACATGCTGTGCAATGGCGTCATTCTGGCCCACTCGGTCATACATGGCTGTCACTGGTTCAGGATCAGCTGATTTGATTCCAGATGTTGCTCTGTTTAGTCCTGTTGGGTGGTTGGCGTAGGCGTCCCGCACCCGGCTGAGAAGTGCTGTGGCATAATCTGTTATTGTAGTCATTTCAATATGATGAACATGCATGTAAAAGTATGCATCCACACACATATTAAGAAATGCATTTACCATATGTTGGTTCCACTTTGACAGGGTGCACGGACCAGCCACCTTCCTTAAAATGAGGGTAACACACAACATACCCTCCTTGGTTCTGGCCAGTTCCTGTACCTGTTGCTGTTGTAATGAATGGCTGATAGCAACAGTCTGAAATATTTAACAGTTTTAGAAACAGTTTGAAACTGCAGAATACAAATATGTTTTAATTGATTAAATAATGACTTGTGTGGAGGTTCCTCCAGCCATTTCTCAGTGTTAGTATTTAAATATTTTTTTCCACACGCTGGTTTATTATTTCATTTTGTTGCAATATTGTAAGATGTTTACTAATGGGTGCACACATTTAGTAATTTATCTTATACATAGTTTATTTGATCATTAACTATTTTCATTTGTTCTGCTGAGATTGGATGAACTAGCAGAGAGAGAGAGGACACGCCCAGTGTAACTCCAGGCAGGAAGTGGAACATTCCATCTGGCTGCTGGAAGCAGGGGACTTGATACTGAAGAAACTAGAAACCAGATGTTCTGAAGCTCTAATTGAGTTTACCAGATTTTGTTAGGATGTATTAGTAAAACTTTTGTGGTAGTTATATTTTGTTGACTTAGTTTCCTAGGTTTATTTACTGTTTGTCTTAGTGTTTCCCCGTCTCTCCCCTCCTCGTTGTCTGTAGGCTAGCCTGTGTGTATAAATTCCCCGGTGTGTCTCAGTTTTAGAGACAGTCTTGCTTGTTACTTTTAGTTAAGGTTATTTTTGTTGCCATTTTTTCCTTTGGGCCCATTTTTGTTTTGATTTTGGTTAATTATTTTTGAAATAAATGGAGAAGATATTCTTTTTAAACCATTGTCCTGGAGTTTTACTGCTCAGTCCCTGACAACTTGCAATATAACCCCTTTGAGTAATATATAACAAAATGAAATTCTAGCTGAATAAAACTTGCCTGGTGTTCATGCCAAGGTATGAGAACCTGTATGCTTAAGAGTAAATGTCAGGATGAGGGAGTGGAACACCTCTAGTGAGTGTGTTTGGTGCTGAGGGTACAGCTGCCTCACATCCTAGCTGAAATGTTGCCTTCTCCAACTTGACTGCTGAAGTTGATCCTGTAGACAAACAAGACATATAAACTACACATTAAATTTACTTCCAGGAAAATTAAAGTGTAGTTCAAACACCCACGAGACTTCCATAATTACCTGGAACCAGACACTGCTTGTTCCTGCTTCCAGTGGAGGATGGAGACAAATGGGAAATTCAGGTGTCTCATGTTCATGGATGTCCTGAACATGATTCATTTCCATTTCGCCTCCAACATGTCATCGTTGCCATCAGGCGTGGAAGCAGCGGCCCAGTACAGATAGTTCACTATGGACTGCGTCCACAGAGCCACATCATCCCAATGCCGCTCTCAGATGACTGTGTCAAGTTTCTTGGACAGACCTGGACAAGAGGAAATGGAATATTGAGTACTCCAGAAAAAAACTGCATAAACAAATAATAGCATTTAAAATATTACTTTTCCACAGTGCCAGAGTCATAGAAGTGTTTTGTACCCTGTGGTACAAGATGGCCTTTGGCCCACTTTACCACCTGACGACTGCAATCAGTCACTAGAACATCCACCTTCACTTCTGCGTCCGTAAAGCCCGGATCACACTGTGTGATTTCCAGCCGTCTTAGTCATATCCCTCACCCGAAGCAAAATTGTGTAAAGAAATGATGAACGTGAGGGTGATTTGCATATCTGTGGTCGTCCAGTCTGACTGGTTCTGCGACAGCTTTCTGAGCCATTTCACGACCAGAGACAGCCTCCGACCGTCTACAGGCATGCTTGAAAACCTACAACTCCTGTCTGCAACCGACCAATGAAAACAAACCTTTGGGACGCCGCAGCAGCAAGACTCCGCCTCTCTGAGCTTCGGCTTCAATTTATGTTTAAAATGTGCATCATAAACTACAGTTTATATTTCAGTTAACAGCCCAAGTTAAACCTGAATTATACAAAAATAATTACCACATTTTAGACCATCAGCTGAATTGTGAAAACCTTGTTTACAGAATCAAGATTTTCACAACAACAAAAAAAAAAACCCCAGTTTTCACAGATCACAGAATCCGTGAGAGCTGAGAGGAGATGTGCTCATGAACATAGAAAATTGAGATCCCTTTTCTGTAGGTGGAAACCCATAATGATGGTTCAGTAGCGTTTTGCTGCAGGGGGACAGAGGAAGCTGTATGGCGTTTAAAGCGTGCCACAACCCGTGCACGCGCATTGGGTCCACAGCGCGCGTGTGAACGGGACTCGCGAGCGAAAATATACATGGCAGCGCGCGTGTGAACGGGACTCGCGAGCGGAAATATACATGGCGAGAGGTCATTTGTGCACTGAGAGGGAGCAAACTGTGTCTGTGAGCGCACAAGGATGTGCACAAGTGACAAACCTGCGTGCGCGCGTTGCCAACAAGCACACGGCAGAGGAAAACGTGCGCGCGCGGCAGCCTCTCTGCGCGCTCGGCAGCCTCTGCGCGCTCGGTTTCTAATTCCGCTCGCTCGGCTGTGAGGGCTTTTGGCACTCTGGAGGCGTGGCCTGTGGCAGATCTTCCCTATCCTCTGATTGGTTAGTTTACCCCGCACTTTACTCTCTACCTATCTATATAAAAAAATCTGAGATTCAGCAGTTGCTGTCATGGCTCAGCTGGGAGAGCGGGTGACTCTCACTCTGGAGGATCCAGGTTCGAGTCCGGCCAAGGAACATAGAGTTGATGTCATAATATTCTTTCCTAATTCCTGTGATATTATTTTACAGTTGTGACCGTTCAACTGTCATTAAACGTCCGAATGTTTGCTGGGCAGTGTTTTAAAAAGTGCACATAAGCTAGATGGTTTTAACCAGGTAAAAATAGACTTGTGGGTGTAGGTATGCTCAAGTTTAAAAAGTTCTTGCCTCATTAATGTATTGTTTATTTTTTTCAGCATTTAATTGACAAATTATCCTTTCAAATAATTAATTGATGAGTTACATAATTGTTCATTTAGAATTGTTGAATGGACTGAGTCAAGTTTGGTGCACTTTATATATTTCAAAACATGTTTTTTTATTTTAATTATGCATATAAATAATTTTAATGTTAATTTATTGAAATATTTCTATTTTTTCATTACCTCACCCTTGTTTTGACAAAAACAAGACCTTGCTGGATAATATCACGGAGAAACTATTTGTTCACAGTACTTGGCTCAGTGAGGATCTGTATACCAAAGGAGGAGATACTCAGAAATCTGTCTGCAGATTGTTACAACCCAGACTGGAAGTGGTGGGCTGTAATAAGAAAGGAGACCAAACAGAGGAGTGAAGAAAAACACAATTAAACACAAATGAAAACCCAATGAGACGGTGGGGGCATCACAACACGTTCAGGACCATTCATCTGGTCGAAGAACACTAGGTTTTTGATTGTTATTCCCCTCCTTGCATTTGTAAACAATCAGCTATATGCTGTGGTTTTTCTCCTTACCAACTTTTAAAATAGCCCACTAATGAAGGCCTGGGCAAAGAAGCCTGATGTCTGAGAACCTCAACATACAGGTGCTGGCCAGTAAATTAGAATATCATCAAAAGGTTGAAAATATTTCAGTAATTCCATTCAAAACGTGAAACTTGTACATTATATTCATGCAATGCACACAGACCAATGTATTTCCAATGTTCATTACATTTAAATTTGATATTCATAAGTGACAACTAATGAAAACTCCAAATTTGGTATCTCAAAAAATTAGAATATTCTGAAAAGGCTGAATATAGAAGACACCTGCTGCCACTCTAATCAGCTGATTTACTCAAAACACCTGCAAAGGCCTTTAAAAGGTCCCTCAGTCTTGTTTTGAAGGCACCACAATCATGGGGAAGACTTCTGACTTAACAGCTGTCCAAAAGACAATCATTGACACCTTGCACAAGGAGGGCAAGACACAAAAGGTGATTGCTAAAGAAGCTGGCTGTTCGCAGAGCTCTGTGTCCAAGCACATTAACAGACAGGCAAAGGGACGGAAAAAATGTGGTAGAAAAAAGTGTACAAGCTCTAGGGATAACCGCACCCTGCAGAGAATTGTGACGACAAACCCATTCAAAAATGTGGGGGAGATCCACAAAGAGTGGACTGCAGCTGGAGTCAGCGCTTCAAGAACCACCACGAGGAGACTCATGAAAGACATGGGATTCAGGTGTCGCATTCCGTGTGTCAAGCCGCTCTTGAACAAGAAACAGCGCAAGAAGCGTCTCGCCTGGGCCAAGGACAAAAAGGACTGGACTGATGCTGAGTGGTCCAAAGTTATGTTTTCTGATGAAAGCAAGTTCTGCATTTCCTTTGGAAATCAAGGACCCAGAGTCTGGAGGAAGAGCGGAGAAGCACAGAATCCACGTTGCATGAGGTCCAGTGTAAAGTTTCCACCGTCAGTGATGGTGTGGGGTGCCATGTCATCTGCCGGTGTTGGCCCACTCTGTTTCCTGAGGTCCAGGGTCAATGCAGCCGTCTACCAGGAAGTTTTAGAGCACTTCATGCTTCCTGCTGCTGACCAACTTTATGGGGATGCAGACTTCACCTTTCAACAGGACTTGGCACCTGCACACAGTGCCAAAACCACCAGCACCTGGTTCAAGGACCATGGTATCCCTGTCCTTGATTGGCCAGCAAACTCGCCTGACCTTAACCCCATAGAAAATCTATGGGGTATTGTGAAGCGGAGGATGCAATACGCTATACCCAACAATGCAGAGGAGCTGAAGACGACTATCAGAGCAACCTGGGCTCTCATAACACCTGAGCAGTGCCACAGACTGATCGAGTCCATGCCACGCCGCATTACTGCAGTTATTGAGGCAAAAGGAGCCCCGACTAAGTATTGAGTGCTATACATGCACATTCTTTTCATGTTCATTCTTTTCAGTTGGCCAACATTAGAGAAACAAACATTTTTTCATTGGCCTTTAGAATATTCTAATTTTCTGAGATACCAGATTTGATGTTTTCATTGGTTGTCACCTATAAATATCAAAATTAAACGTAATAAACATCGGAAATACATTGGTCTGTGTGCATTGCATGAATATAATGTACAAGTTTCACGTTTTGAATGGAATTACTGAAATATTTTCAACCTTTTGATGATATTCTAATTTACTGGCCAGCACCTGTATGTACGGCAACCACACTGTATCATAAAGAAGCTGCATATCAAGCTTTCATTCAGATGACCTTCAACAGTGCTGCACCCTGCTGAGGGACAACTGAGTAAAACCTTGAGATGGCCATTTTCTGTTCACTAACTTGCTTTAGTAAATCCTTACTTTGGTTAAATAAATCAGTTGTTGAACCCCCCACTCCTCTGTTTGGTCTCCTTTCTTATTACAGCCCACCACTTCCAGTCCCGTTCACACGCGCGCTGTGGACCCAATGCGCGTGCACGGGTCTGACGCGATAAAGCTGCGCTCCGTGACAGTGAGTGTGATGAGATTAGGGTTGTCACGATACTAAAATTTCAAACTCGATTCGATACTGGGGGGAAAAAACTCGATACTCGATTTCGATACTATTTAAATACACTAATTTATTGAAAAAGTTTATTCAAAAAATAACATTCATCAATTTATATTGCAAAAATTAAATGTTAAGAATTAAGTGTATAAAGTGCTTAAACCTTTCAAGTATCAGCATTTTTTAAACGCGCATACAAAAACTGGTGAAAGTTAACACTTTAAATCATGAATTGTCTCACTATATATACACTATTTGCAGAGTGATGTTTTGCTGCTTAAACTCTGTTTAAGGTGCATTTTTGTCATAAGATGTAATGCCATATGTTTTGTTCTGTACTTTTGAACAACTCTGTTGGTCAATAAAGGGAGAAAACAAATTTCTCCACAGTAGGACAAAGGTACATCTACCGGTAATCTGAATAAAAACAGATTGGCGCACGGCAGTGACGTCATTAAAAGCGCCGGTTAGATTAGCCGCGGCTAGTCTGTTCACGCCTAGAAATCCCAGACCAGACCCGCTCCAAACGAACAGGGGAATCACGTTAATGATTCCTAACAAAACCTTTCGACATGAAGATGTTTTGGTGCAGATAATGTCTTACTTCGAGGCTGCACCATGGGTGCCCGTCCGCACCCGTTATATGGATATACACTGATGGCGATTCGCCGATGGATCTAAATACCCCGGGGAATCCAAGTAGCACCAAAGTTGTCAGTGTGAGTAAACAAACGTACTGCATGCTAGAAATTAAGTCCGGGTTGCAATAAACGGGAGTTTTCCTTTAAGCACATAAGCGTGAATATACGTGTCGGACATGGTATGCTAATTAATTTGGGCTGCGAAGCGCCTCCCAAATTCGCTGTTTATGTTTTTGTTTATTTATTTGGCAGATAAAACTTGGATCGGAGACAACTCGCGTGGGAAATTGTAATGTAGCCATGCGGCATCTTCTTCTTCTGTTTGTCTGGGAGGCGGAGGCTGCTTTACGGCATCTGGCTGTCGTGCGTGTCAGTGTACTTGAAGAAGGCTGTGTATAATAGTCCATAATATCGATACCACAGGGATGGAATATCTAATTTAGATACCACTTTTAGCATCGATTTATATCTAGGTATCGATTTTTTGGCAACACTAGATGAGATGTCACAGAGCCGCAGAGTAAATAGTGGGACAGATATTGCAGCGATCAGTGACAGATTGTTACTTCTCTGTAGTTTAAAAGGAGACCCATAGCCAGAGTCTGACGCCAAAGAGAGGGTTTTAAAAATAATCCTTTCTCTTTGAGGAAGATGAGCTGGGTCATGACCCACAGAAGATGAGCTGGGTTCCTGAGAAAATCAGGTCTTCTTTTAATAATATAAAAAAATAATTTATGAACATTTTCCTTTATTTTTTAGGAAAACTTTGAAAACACTTATTCAATGATTCTCATGACAGAAAATACACATATGAGAATAAATAAATAAAAATATAAACTAGATTGGTACAATCTGTTAAACAAGCAGGATGACTGGTTCAGTCCCTCTGTCCATGTATGGTCCTATAACCTAGTTTGTGTTATGATGGTTGAAATTTACCTGATGATCGGAGACTAATGAGTTGCCTCTAGTTGCACAGTTCACCGAGGTCAGCTGGGGTCATCTGCAGACAGACTCTGTTCTGTCACATCCTCATGAGCTTCAGCAGCATCAGGAATGAGCTCTGCTTCCACTTGTGACGTTACATCTGCCATTATCTATAAAACACAAGTACAAATGTATATGGAAGAGTTATTTTCAAAATCTGAACATGTCAGCGAACATTATATAACAGTTTATAATGTTTCTAGCTGAGAAAAAAAGACCAACTATAGCAACAGAAAAAGACCTAGCTCTGTATGCACATTTACATGTGTAGGACCAGCTTACCAGGCCTTATCGGTCCTTGTCAGGTGACGTATCAGGTGCTGTAGCATGTTGCATGATGGGATAGCTAGGTGTATAAACAATGGAAGCACTGTTCACTTTGTGTTGTTGTGAGCTTCTTAAACTGCAGAAAATGGTACACTCCTGTTGTGAAGGGCTGCCATGCTGTCATCACATGAAGTTAAATGTAGGCTGGAGTTGCATTAACCAATGGCGCTAAGGGGGTGTGGTTGACATGCAGGTCACTTGTCTGACAAGGACCATTGTCAAAGATGCCATTCACTGTGTCCTCTGTTTTATTTCCCTTTTGGGCGCTAACCTGTTGTCTTTATTCACCAGTAGGGTTGTCACGGTAACCGGTATAGCGGTAAACCCCGGTAAAAAAGTTGACAATAAAAATAACCGTCCAGTTTTTAAAAAACTATATTATCTCGGTGGGTTTACCGTGGCCGCGGTTTCGGCGCGATGACCCTTACCAGCCACCGTCGCTTCAGCTGAAGTTCCCGCGGCGCGCACACGCACTTTTTAGTTTGCAACGGCACCAAAACTTTGAAGCTGAAATAACGGCCGAAGGAGGAGACGGCAGCGCCCAGGACATCCATCAGCCCTCAAAGAAGACTAAATCGGAAGTATGGGCATATTTTGGATTTCTGAAAAATGCTGAGGGACAGTTAATAGAAGACTGCTATCCCGTTTGCAGAACATGCAGGAAACAAGTGTCTGCAAAAGGCAGCAACACTTCGAATCTAAAGGCACATCTGCGTGACCATCACCCACGTCTCTACAGCCAGTGCAAGGTAAGTTAACATTAGCATTTTAGCTTAAATGCATGACGCGAGGACTTTTGGTTGAGGGAGAATGCAACGAGTCACTATATACTGCAGCCGCAGCGTCCTCTGGCAGCATTTAAACCGTGTCACGGACACCCTGTTGCTGGATGAAGCATCTTATTTGTTGATGATGAAGAGAAATATACAATTAGTTCCTTGTCATTGATTTGTTTACTTATTCAATGCCATTTATACTTGAACATTTGGATTTGATTACATAGTGTAGTAGTTATTTTAGTAATTTGTTTAAAGTGGCTGTTTGTTTTAAATACATATTTTTTTAAGGTTGACTTGTACAGCGCTCAAGTCAAGTGTGGACTGGAGTTTTAGATTTTCATTTTGATAATGAAGAAAACAAGTATATGAGAAAACAAGTGGTGTTTCTTTGATTTGTTTACATATTGTTTATGTTTCGAATGTTTGGATTTGTATCATTTAAACCTGCACTGACTACTGTAACATGTTCCAGAAAGAGAAGCTATTTGTTCCTTTACTTGTGAAAAGTTGCACTTTTGCTAAGGCTTTGTGTTATTTTAGGTTTAATAAACACTGTTAAACCTTTTCAGAACTATTTCAGTTTGTGTAGAACAGGACTATCAATGCTTTCTGAACATATGCAACACCGCTTAAAAAATACCGCGATAATACCGAAAACCGTCATAATTTTGGTCACAATAACCGTGAGGTTAAATTTTCATACCGTGACAACCCTATTCACCAGCCATGTCCTACAGGCTACAGCTACACAAACATTAGCCCTTAGCTGCTCACCCAGATGCTAATGAGCTTCTCTTCTGAGTAAACAGTAATAAACAGAGAGATTTCAAATTAAACTCATTGGAAAATCACACTTCTATGTTACTACAAAATCTCAGATGTGTAGATGTAAAAGTCATAATTACCAAACAAACTTCAAGTTTCCAAGCAGCAGTTCCTCGTGGAGTCTTGAATCTGCTGCGGCTCTACCCTGGAGTAGCCATTGTTGTGGACGCCATCTCACCTCCTTGTTGTGTCTCCCGCTGTCGACTGCCTCTGCTGTGTACTGATGATAATGCGGTGGGCTTCAGCCCGACCTTATCCTTGCTTTTGAAACCCATCTTCTGCTCACTCAAGTCACTTTCATTATAGTCCTCGCAAAAATGCTCGCCACACACTACAGAGCTAGAAGATACACTCCTTGTGGTGAAATCTTGCCGTCCAACTTGAACAAACCTCACCCACGCTCGAAATAGAAATCGATGAACTCATGTCCAGACAGCCAGGGTTGGAATAACCTCCACATAAATAAACTTTTACCATTTATACTTTTGAGAACTTTGTGCTAACGCTGTGGTGAGTGATAGTCCCTGCTGTCTTGCCCCTCCTGCGTCACAACATCAAGTGACAGAAATGTTCTTAATTTTTGTTGAAGCAGCCTTTTTCCACAAGTAAAGACAAACTATAACATCTGAGTTATTCAGCACTGAAGTGTGATCAACTTTATTTTTTCACCAAATAAAAACATGTTTATGAAGATGGACTTTAACTAAATGTCCTCACTTCGCTACTAATGTCCTTAGTTTGCATGTAAAGCTTGTCATTGGTCCTCACTTTGATGTATAGACGAGTACACACACACACACACACACGTCTGTTTTTCTATAACAGTGAGGACCCTCCATTGACTTCCATTCATTTTTGTGATTCCACTGTGCCTAAGTAAGTAAGTAAGTAAGTAAGTAAGTAAGTAAGTGTTTATTTATAGAGCGCCTTTCACAGATATAAATCACAAAGCGCTGTACAAAATGATAAAGATCAGGACAAATACCTCTAACCAATAAAAACATCAGAAAAACAATAGCAGTGATAAAGTAGAAAATAAAATCATGAGTATAAACAAAGTGAAGGTGTGAACCCAAACAAAACCATCTTTTTGAAACATTTAGGGAGGGAACGCCTGGATGAAAAGGTGAGTTTTTGGATGATTTTTAAAGACCTCTACAGTGTTGGAGAGACGGAGATTTGAAGGTAGACTGTTCCAAAGTCTGGGTGCAATAGTCTGAAAGGCCCTGTCCCCTTTGGTTTTCAGTCTGGTTCGAGGAACAGCCAGGAGGTTTTCAGATGTGGATCTAAGGTTCAGAGAGGTGGTGTGTGGGGATAAAAGCTCAGATAGGTAGCTTGGAGCCTGGTTGTTAAGAGCTCTATAGGTCAGGACTAAAACTTTAAACTGAATTCTATATTCTACCGGGAGCCAGCGGAGGGACTGTAAAACTGGAGTGATGTGAGCTCGTCTGCTGGATCCTAACCCTAACCAATGCTGACCTATGACTAACCCTAACCTAAACTAAAACATAATTCACACCATACCTCTAACTAGTATAGTAAGCTTCTAAAAAAAGTGAGGGCCAAAAAAAAAAGTCCTCACTTAGAAAATGTCCTGACATTGTAGGGAAAATGTTATGTAAACTAACACACACATGCACACACATTCACACACACCCTGCAGACTCACCATGAGGGCATCAGAGGCACACACGCTGTGGAAGCCATGATAGAAGGCAGCAAACTGCGTGTAAATGGATTTATTCAGCAGGAAGTCGATGTAGAGCTGGACATACTCTGTGGAAAGAACACAGTATCACTGTCAACATTCCACTTTTACCCACGAGCCTCCTGTGCTGGTGGAGAGTTGGACCCAACAGAAACTGTGTTGATGGATCTTCTCCAGCTGGGAGCAACACAACTTCTCACCAGAAGCAGGTTTGATTTGAGCTGCACACGTGGAGGAAAGGAAGTAACCATGTAAGCCATAAAGCCATGACCACAAATCCTTCTTTCTTCACAATCTCGGGTTTTTACACGTTTGTTTAGGTTTTCTTTGAAGAAGCAGAGCAACTGAGTTTGGAGAATAAGATGAAATCACTCCAAACTTTCCTGGCAGTTGGACTGTACGTTTAACACCTCGTCGTGTTTGGAGGAGAAGGTTGGCTCCGCAGGATTTTCTCTCCCAGCAGCACAGATGATTCCGACGACTCATTAGGCCTTCACACAGGCTGTTCTGTTTGCTGCTGATGGTGTCACACCACGAGAAACATAATAACCACAGTCTCCACATTTTATATAATAAAACACTATCTATGGAAACTATTTATCATCATTTAACATCTTTGCCTCTGTTGTTTGTTTCTTTTCATCTTCAGTGATCAATCCTGAGAAAGTAAAGCTTGTTAGAAACCAAACGCACTTTTAAGATGTGGCTGAAAAAGTCTTGATTCCTTTTTGAGACGAGGACTTTTGTTTCATGAGCCCGGATTGTCTATGAGGTCGCTCGGAGCTGACCTTCAACATTCCAGCCACAGTTCTGTGAGTTGACTCACCCTTCCGGTTCTGCTTGGTCACAGGGATTTTGTCTCCTCCAGCTTTCAGGTTGTAGGATTTGACCACGCCCATCTCCTCCTGGAACACCTGAAAAAACACAAAACCGTAAAACCTACATTTATATGAATAAACACACTGATCTTTCCTGTGGAAACTCTGATGGGGTCACTTGCAGCATCATCTCTCTGTGGAGACAGTCTTAGCCAATCAGAGAGCTGGGATGGGAGCCTTGGGGGAAGCAGACAGGTTGAGAGACAGGCTGTGACAGCAGGACAGGTGAGACAACCAGTTGAAATCATCAACTAAGTACTTATTTTGAATGATTGGGCCAAATGCTTTGACCTCTTCTGACATAGAAGTGAGGAGGAGAAGCCAAAGCTATTTTTAGTTACTTTGCCATGGTAACTTGAAATGTCTGTATTGACATCTCCCCAGAACAACACGATGACAAGCGAGGAGAAAGATGGCAGTATGTATCCAGACGATTTGTGGTTAGTTTCCTGTTTGGTTTACTTCAGCCAAGGCAGCAATATAGTTAATCAGTAGGAAATCTGCACGCCTTTAATTTAGAAAGTTTCTGAACGCTTTACTCACTTCCATATCTGATTTGCTGTCTCGCTGGATCTGAACTGCTGAGCTTGATGCATTCAGGAAGGTGAGCACGTAAAACACAGAGCATAAATTTAGCAGAGTTCAGGCTTCTGAGAAGCGTGAAACACACTGGTGACTAGAACGTAACTATTATCTGCACATTGCTCTTCTCAGATGTTAAGGGACACTGCTAGTGGAAAGCTGAGGTCTCTCCTCACCTGTCTGCTCACCTGAGCTTTGCCTCTTACGTTTAGGTTCTTGTGACCTGCCTGGTGAGTTTCACACAAGCAGCTTTTAACAGCTCAGTGAAACGAGGACAGGAATGCAGCAGGTGGTTGTGACTGGACCAAAAGCGTCTGTATTTCTAAATGAAGTTGGTCTGTGACACCAAACACATAAATAACCCTAAGCCTAGAACACAAAACCATCACTAAGATACCGATTATGTGAGGGATTTTATGTGTGAGTGCAGAAATCTGAGTTTGTCCTGTCTTCATCCTGTCTAGCTGCTGTTCATTAAGGACACCATGTTTTCTAACCACTAAACCAGGGGCGTGTCCAGAGAGTGGGCCTGGGGGTCGGCATAGGCGCCACCCCAAAACCCGAGACAGTAAAACATCTAGAACACATATTTAATAAAAACATCAAATCTAAAACAAAAACAATAACATCAAATGTAAGATGGCACTTGGAAGTTTATTATTATTTTTTAATGTTTGTATTTTCAGCAATAAACTGAGCTTGGTTCATGCTCTAAAACCTTTCTGAAATTCAGATGAGACTATTGGGTTCGAACAAAACAACAATCAGAGCCAGACATTTCTTTTTATGTTGATATTGTTTGATTGTTTTTTTTTCCATTGATATTAGGTTTTAAAGTACATCTATTTCTGTTGTTAGTTGAAAAATATTTGAATAATAATAAATTAGGAACTCGTCCTTGAACCGTCACCTTATCGTGGTGGAGGAGTTTGAGTGCCCTAATGATCCTAGGAGCTATGTTGTCTGGGGCACTTGGTGCCCCTGGTAGGGTCTCCCATGACAAATTGGTCTTAGGTGAAGGGTGAGACAAAGAACGGTTCGAAGGATCTTTCATGGCGGTTAAAACGAAGAGTCGGAGTACCCGGCCCGGAGGGTTACCGGGGTCCCACCCTGGAGCCAGGCCTGGGGTTGGGGCCCGTGAGCGAGCGCCTGGTGGCCGGGCTTTCGCCCATGGGGCCCGGCCGGGCCCAGCCCGAACCGGATACATGGGCTCGTCCAACTGTGGACCCACCACCCGCAGGAGGAACATGAAGGGTCCGGTGCAATGCGAATCGGGTGGCAGACCAAGGCGGGAGCCTTGGCGGTCCAATCCCCGGACAAGAAAACTAGTTTTTGGGACATGGAACGTCACCTCGCTGGCGGGGAAGGAGCCGGAGCTTGTGGCAGAGGTTGAGCGGTACCGGCTAGATATAGTCGGACTCACCTCGACACATTGCATTGGCTCTGGAACCCGAGACCTGGAGAGGGGTTGGACACTCTACTTTGCTGGAGTTGCTCCGGGTGAGAGGCGGAGGGCTGGGGTTGGCTTTTTGTTAGCCCCGAGACTCTCTGCCTGTGTGTTGGGGTTTACCCCGGGGGACAAGAGGGTAGCTTCCTTGCGCCTTCGGGTCGGGGAACGGGTCCTGACTGTTGTTTGTGCTTATGGGCCAAATATCAGTTCAGAGTACCCACCCTTTTTGGAGTCCCTGGGACGAGTGCTAGATAGTGCTCCATCAGGGGACTCCATTGTCCTGCTGGGGGACTTCAATGCTCACGTGGGCAATGACAGCTTGACCTGGAGGGGTGTGATTGGGAGGAACGGCCCACCTAATCTGAACTCGAGCGGTGTTTTGTTATTGGACTTCTGTGCAAGCCGCAGTTTGGCCATAACGAACACCATGTTCGAACATAAGGATGCCCACCGGTACACTTGGTACCAGGGCAGCCTAGGTCACAGGTCGATGATAGATTTTGTAGTCGTATCATCTGACCTGCGGCCGTATGTTTTGGACACCCGAGTGAAGAGAGGGGCGGAGCTGTCAACTGATCACCACCTGGTGGTGAGTTGGATCAGATGGCAAGGGAACATGCCGCGTAGACCTGGCAGACCCAAACGCATAGTGAGGGTCTGCTGGGAACGCCTGGCAGAAGAACCTGTCAAGACGGTCTTCAACTCCCACCTCCGGCAGAGCTTTGACCACGTCCCGAGAGCAGTGGGGGACATTGAGTCCGAGTGGGCCTTGTTCCACTCTGCGATTGTCGAGGCGGCTGTTGCTAGCTGTGGTCGTAAGGTGGCCGGTGCCAGTCGTGGTGGCAACCCCCGTACCCGCTGGTGGACACCAGAGGTTCGGGGAGCCGTCAGGCTGAAGAAGGAGGCCTACAGGGCGTGGCTGGTCTGTGGGTCTCCGGAGGCAGCAGACAGGTACCGGATAGCCAAGCGGGGTGCAGCAGTGGCAGTTGCCGAGGCAAAATCTCGGGCGTGGGAGGAGTTTGGTGAGGCCATGGAGAAAGACTATCGATCGGCTCCAAAGAGGTTCTGGCAAACTGTCCGGCGCCTCAGGAGAGGAAGGCACCAACTCGCTCACACTGTTTACAGTGGGGATGGGGAGCTGCTGACGTCAACTGGGGCTATAGTCGGACGGTGGAAGGAATACTTTGAGGAGCTCCTCAATCCCACCAATGCGCATTCCGAGGAGGAACCAGAGCTGGGAGGCCTGGGGATGGACTGTCCGATCTCGGGGGCAGAAGTTGCTGAGGTAGTCAAACAACTACACAGCGGCGGAGCCCCGGGGGCGGATGAGGTTCGTCCTGGGTATCTCAAGGCTATGGATGTTGTAGGGCTGTCATGGTTGACACATCTCTACAACATTGCGTGGTCATCGGGGGCAGTTCCTAGGGAGTGGCAGACCGGGGTGGTGGTCCCCATCTTTAAGAAGGGTGACCTGAGGGTGTGTTCCAACTATAGGGGGATCACACTCCTCAGCCTCCCTGGAAAGGTCTACTCCAAGGTACTGGAGAGGAGGGTCCGATCGATAGTTGAATCTCAGATAGAGGAGGAGCAATGTGGTTTTCGTCCTGGCCGTGGAACTGTGGACCAGCTCTATACCCTTGCAAGGGTGATGGAGGGGGCACGGGAGTTTGCCCAACCAATCCACATGTGCTTTGTGGATTTGGAGAAGGCTTATGACCGTGTCCCCAGGGGCACCCTGTGGGGGACGCTCCAGGAGTATGGGGTGGGTGGCTTTCTGTTAAGGGCCATTCAGTCCTTTACCAGAGGAGCGTGAGTTTGGTCCGCATAGCCGGTAGTAAGTCGGACCTGTTCCCAGTGAGGGTTGGACTCCGCCAGGGCTGCCCTTTGTCACCGGTTCTGTTCATCACTTTTATGGACAGAATTTCTAGACGCAGCCGTGGTGTGGAGTGTGTCGACTTTGGTGGCAGGAGAATCTCGTCTCTGCTTTTTGCGGATGATGTGGTCCTCCTAGCTTCATCCAGCTCTGACCTTCAGCTCTTGCTGGGTAGGTTCGCGGCCGAATGTGAAGCGGCTGGGATGAGGATCAGCACCTCCAAATCTGAGACCATGGTTCTCGACCGGAAAAGGGTGGCTTGCCACCTCCGGGTCGGGGGAGAGGTCCTACCTCAAGTGGAGGAGTTTAAGTATCTCGGGGTCTTGTTCACGAGTGAGGGTAGGAGGGATCGGGAGATCGACAGGCGGATTGGTTCGGCGTCTGCAGTGATGCGGACGCTGAGCCGATCTGTCGTGGGGAAGAGGGAGCTGAGCCAGAAAGCCAGGCTCTCGATTTACCGGTCGATCTACATCCCAATCCTCACCTATGGTCATGAGCTTTGGGTAATGACCGAAAGAACGAGATCGCGGATACAAGCGGCCGAAATGAGTTTCCTCCGTAGGGTGGCCGGGCTCAGCCTTAGAGATAGGGTGAGGAGCTCGGACATTCGGGAGGGGCTCGGAGTAGAACCGCTGCTCCTCCGGATCGAAAGGAGCCAGTTGAGGTGGTTTGGGCATCTGGTCAGGATGCCTCCTGGACGCCTCCCCGGGGAGGTGTTTCGGGCATGTCCTGCCGGCAGAAGGCCCCCGGGTCGACCCAGGACACGTTGGAGAGGTTACATCTCCAATCTGGTCCGGGAACGCCTTGGGGTCCTGCCGGAGGAGCTGGTGGACAAGGCCGGGGAGAGGACGGCCTGGAGCTCCCTAGTTGGGATGCTGCCCCCGCGACCCGGACCCGGATAAGCGGAGGAAGACGAGACGAGACGATAAATTAGGAAAAAAGTCCATCCATTTTCGGCCGCTTATCTGGAGTCAGGTCATGGGGGCAACAGCCTAAGCAGGGAGGCCCAGACTTCCCTCTCCCCAACCACATGGGCCAGCTCCTCCGGGTGAATCCTAAGGTGTTCCCTGGCTAGCCGAGAGACGTAGTCCCTCCAGTGTGTCCTGGGTCTTCCTTTAGACCTTCTCCTGG